AATGACTTTTGGTATTATTTTATGTTATACAGAGTGCTGCACAGAGGAGTTAGTGAGTACCAAGACATAGCTCTTCTGGACACAAAACATTTTGGCAAGGTAAGAATTTATATAATACTATTTCAATTCTGCTCAAAGATATATGATCAATTGTGTAAATTAGTCAATTAATTAATTGTCGTCAATTGTATGAAGGCCTTGGTGATTGATGGGAAGATGCAGAGTGCAGAAATTGATGAATTTATATATCACGAGTGTTTGATTCATCCACCCCTCTTATGTCACCCCAAGTAAGTTTAATATATTTCAAATTTTCAATCACGCTTTTACCTAATCCTTATTATTATTATTATTATTTTTGTATTTTCATTTTAGCCCCAAAACGGTGTTTATAATGGGTGGAGGCGAAGGGTCGACCGCACGAGAGGCCCTGAGGCACAAATCAATAGAGAAGGTGGTCATGTGTGATATTGATAAGGTATATATATATATATATACATACACATTTGGAAAAAATAATTAAATTAAATTAATCAGATTTATATTTTGGTGGCAATATTTTTGGTCCAAGAAGTATTTATATTCCATGAATTTGTTTAGTTGGGAATGGCCAACAAATGTGACATAAATAGGCGATTGCACTATTTGATCTATTTTTTGAAAAAGAAAAAAAAAATAAGTGGGTTTTTAAAAAGTTATTATTGATTTGACATTTCTTAAAATTCTTTTTGCTCTTTTGGTCCCATTTGCCAGCAAAGCTTAATCTTGTTGAGGTGGCATTAAAGGGACAGAAAATATCTTTTCTAATAAGTGTGGTTGTCTTTTGGTTTGCTACATGCGTATTTGAGCGTGATTAAAAATTATGAAAGTGGTAAATAAGTTGTCCGAATTTATAACGTGCTGTATTAGAGTATTAAAAGCATGGATGGGTAATTATGAAGAAAAAAATTTAGTATAAAGTATAACAAAAAAAAAAAAATTATGTGAATGAAAAAATAATATGTGGGGTGGTTTAATTGTTAGGGCAAGTCGATTAGCCATTTTTTTTTAAAAAAAATAAAATCTTATACTTCAATTTATATTATTTTTTAACTATGATTATTATTTTAATCTAGGTTAATTATTAATTATCTTTCTATTTTATACAGTATCAATATAGTCCTTATTAACAATAATTTTTGCTACGACTTTCAGGAGGTCGTCGAGTTTTGCAAAAAGCATCTCACAGCAAATCATGAGGCATTCCGTAACATGAAGCTTGATTTAGTCATTAATGATGCCAAGTAATAATTAACGTTGATTTATGTTAACAGATTTCTGAATATTACATTAACAATACTAATTACTAATTAACTTTTTCTTTTAATTTAATTATTTACTCTGTAGAGCTGAATTGGAGGGGAGGAAAGAAAAATTTGACATAATTGTGGGAGATTTAGCTGACCCAGTTGAGGGAGGGCCTTGCTATCAACTCTACACAAAATCTTTCTACGAAAATATTATTAAGCCTAAGCTCAATAAAAATGGCATCTTTGTTACTCAGGTCAGTATTTAATTTCTCTTTCAATTTATTTTAAAAAATGATGATAATCAATTAATATTGTGGTTTGGAGTTGTAAAAAAATTAAATTAAATTAATAAATTGAAATTTCTGATGAGTTTTGGTGGCTTAAATTGGTATTTAGGCTGGACCAGCTGGGATTTATACTCACAAGGAGGTCTTCTCATCAATATATAACACTATAAAGCAGGTCTTCAAGTGTAAGTCAATCACATACACAAATCTTCTAGTTCCGCAATTAATTAGAATTAGTGGTTTTAAGTTTTAGTTAATTATGAAACATGCCTAGTTATTGTCAAAACCGTTTATCCCAGTTAAGGGTGAGCAATGGTGCAATTTGATGCAAAACCTCATCGAAAAAAGAAATAATTATAAAACTATAATTGAATCGTACTGCATTTTTATTTAATTTGATGTGATTCGGTGAATGTAAAAAAAAAAATCAAACTAGATTGCACAGTTAAGCTCGGTTTTACTTACTTTAGTTATTATGATATATCAATTGTAGCTAGGCTAAACTCAAAGGGTAGTTTTTAAAATTATCAGATGTAATTATGAAACTATGATAAATTGAATTTATAATAAATGAACTTAAGATCAAATTAAACTGCTCCTAATTTGATGGTGTGTATACAGACGTTCGTGCTTATACGGCTCACGTGCCATCGTTTGCGGACACTTGGGGTTGGGTTATTGTAAGTAAATAAATGACTTCACGATTAACAACTATATAATTAATTAATTTATTTATTTAGAAGGACTTATAATTTATCTAATTTTATCTTTTGGTCTATGTTAGGCCTCTGATGAACCACTCTGCATTGATGCCGGGAAAATGGACAAAAAGATAGCAGACACAATTGATGGAGAACTCTTGTACTTGAATGGTCCTTCATTTGTGGCCTCAACAATTTTGAATAAAACTGTGGCCACAACGTAAGGCCTCAAATTCAACACGAATGTTCAAATTTTCAAAAAATTAAATTTTGATTACAAATTTATTAACATAACACTAAATTCTTGGGTACAGATTGAAAAACGAGACTCATGTGTACACAGAGGATAGCGCGAGGTTTATCTATGGACAAGGTGTCGTGGGTCGGATTTAATATTGAGATGTTGAAGATTGTATGTATGGGAGAGGATTTCAAGCACAATGAAGTAGAAATCAAAATGTTCTCTTAATTAGGAAAATACAAGCAATTGTTTAAGGTTGTCATGTACTTGTGGTTCTCTCCTTTAAAACTTCCACTTAATTAATATGATTTGTTGAGTTTTATTTCTATTTTGGATCATTTGGGCAAGCTCCAAGCTCAAACTGGGCTTGAGATTTAGCATTTTCAAACTTTGTACTATTTTTGTTTTCCTAGGCGATCGCTCAATAGTTATTTGTGTATGCTTCATCGTGGCAATGAAAAAAAAAAATGATATGTGTTTGCATGATATATATGATATAATAAAGTGATTGACTAATTGATAGGAGAAACGTTAATTGATAATTATTAGGAAAAATATACTTTATCTATCTAACTATGCGTTTTTTTAAATTTTACCCACTAAACTTAGTTTTGTAGCACTTAACGCAAAACTTTGCGAAATGTTGCACTTCACTTGTTTCCGGTCACTGGCGGCCATTCTCAGGGGTTTTTTGGTCTTTTCAATCCCTAAAACAGGGGCAAAATTGTCCAAACACATGTATCCTCTCTTATAACTGATCTTGAATCCTTAATTGAACAAAAAAAAATCTCAAATTGCAAAAACTTAAATTGAATTCTGAAGAAATGGCGGAAGAGGCGATCTGGAAGCAAACATCTGAGGTCACTTTGTATTAAAATATTTTGTCAGCAAAAAACACAAAACAAAACTTACCATATGACGGGCCATTCGCACTGAATGAATCGTTTTTCTCACGAATTTAGTAACTCATTACTAACGATTTGAAGAAAATACAGTTCATTTGGTTTGTTCTTTTTTTTTTTCTCAAATCTGGGGACGAGCAATTCTAGGCTTTTTTATTTTTGTTTCAATCACTCCCCAATTTCTTTCTGTCGCGTTTAATTGAACCCCAATTGGGATTTGGATTTGGAAATTTTGTGGTTGTTTTAGAGATTGAAAAGACCAAAAAGCCCCTGAGAATTGTTGCCGGTGACCAGAAACGGGTGAAGTGCAACATTTCGCGAAGTTTTGCCTGGTTAAGTGCCACAAAACTAAGTTTGGTAGGTAAAGTGTAAAAAAGCGCATAGTTAGGTAGGCAAAGTGTAATTTAATTATTAAGTTAGTTTAAGTTTTAACTGATAATTAATAGATCTAAGTACTTTGCCCATCACTCGAATTCATCATTTACAACGAACATACTGGTGTTTGAACTAGGACTATTAAAAGGGCTTACCCATAATTTTTTCTTTTTTCACCCGAGGCTGCAAAATGTTTTGATGTTATTTGAATTGAATTATCCCGTTACATAGTTTGGTTTGACAGGTAAAGCCAAGATCGACTAGTTTGTATATTTGCACGAGCAAAGCTCAAACAACTAATTAATCTTATCTACCAAACAAATTCGAGTCAAGCGTGTTCACGATCAATTCGATTAAAGTACTTTGGCTTAAATTGTTATTCAGGCTGGACTAACTGGAATCCTTAAGAATCTTATAGCTAGAGGAGGAATTTGATATTGGATATCGTATTTGATTTTTTTTTATTTGGGAAACATATCTAATTTAAAAAAAAAAAATCCAAAGTCCAAGTGATAAAATAAATTGAATAACACGTGATTTTTTAAAAAAATTTGAAGATTTTTTTGAAATCTCAAATGAATACTACAAGTCTCTTAAAAGTTTTAAAAATTCAATTTAAATATATCAAAATCTTAAACTCTAAAAAAATTTATAAGAATCACGAATTTATACACCCCTGATTTAGCTCTAATGGTCATTATATTTGGCAAATATACAAACTAATAATTTTTCTATTTTTCTCTAGAACGCACAATCTATCTACTATATAATTAGGCAATACACTTGCCATTTTTAGAAAGTTTTATGTGGGTCCTACAACACTCTTACTATTTTTGGAAAATCCTCACATTCTTTGACACGTGTTCGTATTGATATTAATATTAATTGCCTCACCTAATATTTATTTAGTTTATCGATAACACGTGTTCATCAATTGTGACTCATTTTCTTAATACAAACAATTAAAAGTACGGGATCGTTTGTACTTCACAGATATTTTTATAGAATTTTATTTTATTTTTTATTAAATATTTTAGTTAAAATTATTTACCTAATTTTCATAATTCATACTTTACAAATTAAAATAATAAAGTATTCGTATGCTTAATTTTTTTAAATTTTTTTATCTTAAATTTTGTACATAAAAATTAAATCTAATAATAATGAAATTAGATATATAATATTTAAAAACATGCGCAATGAATAACACACAAACATTCTTCACAATAAATAAATAAATAAATAACAACATGTTTGTATAATAGTTTTTATTTCATTTTCTACAACATACAAATTAAATCTAATAATAGTGAAATTAGATATAAAATTATTTAAAAACATGCGCGATGAATCACACAAACATTCTTCATAATAAATAAATAAATAAATAAATAACATCATGTTTGTAGAATATTTTTTGATTCATTTTCTACAAGTTGAAAAATCCAAAACATTGATTAAATTAATCGATTAAACAAATAGTATTATATATATATATATGCAATATATGTAATAAATATTAAATTACATAATATAGAGAGTATTTCGTAAATACTTTTGTATTTATTAGTAATATCGCGATAACATAAAAATATGACTTAAATGTTAAATGGTAGGTAGTTAATTTATTTATTTTATACTTATAAATTTATGTTCATAAAATATTTTATTTTTTAATACGCAAACCAGTCCAACATACTTAACAACACTAAACAAAGTTCAAAATAAAATACGGTCATAAGATTTTTATTTAAAAAAAAAATATTAACACACAGTAACACGTCTAACATATGGAAGTTAAAAATACACCCCTAAAACCATGAAAGTCAGTTTAGAAGTTAAAGTCAGATAGAAGTTACTACATGTTTGCAAGTTTTGTTAGACGTTAAAAATACACCCTAAAACCATGAAAGTCAGTTTGGAAGTTAAAAGCTAGATAGAAGTCATAAAAGTCAGTTTGGAAGTTAAAGTTAGATAGAAGTTAACACACGTGTGTAAGTTACATTGTTGTGAGTTTGCAAGTTAAAATCATATAGAAGTTAACACAGGTGTGTAAGGTACATTGTTAGTGGAAGTTAACACACGTGTGTAAGGTACATTGTTAGTGGCTGGAATCGTTGCTTGCACCTTGTGATGCAATATTATGAAAGACTGCTTGAAATACTGGGAGTTAATATTGAGGTGATTCTTTTAAGACTTTTTTTTTTTAAAAAAAAAAAAACGTTATTATACATATGCTATTTAATTTTGTTTTCTAATATTTGTGTTTTTAACGTTGTACAGGTCTCAATAAAAAAGATTCATGTAGATTTGTTCAAATGTTTCATCACAAAAGGTGGAGTCATGGGTATCCACACTTTAATGTAGCACCAGCGACAGATATAAATTAAAATTTCCCGAAGTTTATGTATAACTTCAAAGTTTTATCCAGCGGCAGATATAAATAAAAATTTCTCGATGTTTATGTATAACTTCAAAAGTTTTACTGATTTGGCTAAAGGCTCCTTTTATAAGGACTCTTGATCCGTAATTATATCTTATGCATATAAAAAATAAAGTATAGATTTTAGTTATTGAGGATTAAATTATACGAATGTTATACATGAAGAACTCTATACCAACTTTACGTCGCTGTTTCACGAGTTACAAATGAGAAATGACTGAAAATATTAATTTGTGATGATAAAAAAAACTCAAAACTTTACATCGTTGTTTTAGAGTTACAAATGTGAAAGGATTGAAAATATTAATTTATGATGATAAAAACAATGTTGTTCTGTATTTATATGAATTTCAAATACTCTTTTAATNCACGGGCAACTGTAGTAGTTATATTGAAATAGCTGAGAGCAGTCATTAGTCATGAATAATTTAGACAGATGTCCATAATTTCTTTTCCCTTTCTAAAATTAAACTACTTTCCAAATATTTTTAGAGCAGAAATATCACCTAGGCAGTGGTATCATTCTCAGATTCTCTACTTACCCCTGAACTGCTGTTTTTCTCCCCCTTCAAAAAATGAAAGCCAAATGAGCACTTGTACTGTTGTACATAGCTCTGAGTACATTTCTGTTTGCTGAAATCAGTAAGCGGATTTTACTATCTACTTTTCAGAATCGACAAGACGAACTTCCTGAGGAAGAAGCTCGTATCTGATATCGAGCTCTTCGAATATTTTCTTCGTCTCCAGCACAAGACTCGTTCTGCGTCTGCTCTTCTCCGAAAAATCTTGAAAGTTCATCGTGTGATTGATAAACAAAGCCATCTTAATCTTGTTCACATTTTCAATCTCCTTGACAACTACACTGTGATTTGGATGCCAATGTTGGGGATTATTCTCTAAGTACCTGTCAAACCGAATACATTATCAATGAAGGATAACATTATGCAAAAAAACTAAGTAAATAAGTAAATATTAACCCACTGTTTGATTTTTAACTTCAAAGCGCCTATTTTCTCCAAAGGCGTCTTGAAATCAATGGAGAACTCGAGCGAATCACCCATATCCGGGCTTCTGTAGAAATTGCTAATGGGTTTCGTGGCTAAAACCGTGTTTGGATAGTATATTTTCTCGTTATCATATCTCAAGAAAACAGTCGTTAATATATTCATCTCCTCCACAATCATCTACAATCCCAAAAAAAAATAAGGAAATGAAAAGAAGGAAAAACGAACATGAATCGTTAAAAAAGAAATGGTGGGTTTTAGTTAATATTACCTGAACACCATCGATAACACAGCGGTCACCCACGTCAAAAGGGTGCATTACAAACACGAATATAATAGCTTCGAATATAGTTTTGCAGGTGTTACCAAACACGAAGACTGCAAGAACAAGCTGTGATGAGAGAAAAACGAGCACTTTGGTGGTTGCTATTCCGACCAATAACAGCCAAATTACTATTGAAATGATTATTAGAATCCCTGAGACGAGCTTGTTCAATTGCTTCACTGCTGTTTTGGTGTCGGTTAAGGCATGCGCTAGTGCTTTTCGACCTTTGTATACCTTCACCTTCACATATAGAAAACAAATAAAATAAAAAAAGACAGATAGGTTTCTTTAAGAGAGTCTTTACTGTAAACAAAGAAAAAAGACTTGATTATAGTCAAATTGTGAAGAAATAAAAGCTGAAGCTGACATTTGAATACAGCCAAGAAAGCTTAATTTTTTTGGTTTATTCATCTAGAAGCAGACAATCACTTTCT